CGTAAAATAACATCAGATATAAATGATATTTTACCAATCCAGTAAGAATCATTAGGGTGACCGAATCCATTCTTATACTCCGCCCATGTTCTGTCAAAATGTATATCCCCACTGACTCGTTTCTGGATTACCTAGAGATTTATGAATGATATGGATTTATTAATGAAAGTCGTGAGAGAGAGAGAGAGAGATAGAAAGAGATAGAGAGAAATAGAGAGGGATATCTTACCGTCCATCCTCCCCGTTCTGTTACCATGTCACAATATACGTTAACGGGGCTCTGAATACCACAAGGATAAACAGTATATTGTCCAGATTGCTGGTATCCTTTGATAAAGAGATCCTGACAATCCACTACATCTAGAATTAATTCTGAATGTAAAAGAAAAGTATAATATTGTAATAATCATATGAGTGAATACACAAAACAAAATTGAGAGATTGAGGAGGGAGGATTTACCTTTCTTGACGATTTGGACATCTTTATGGATTCTGGTCATATTTTCATCCAGTCTATTCACCATCTGAATGAGAGAATCTACAGATTTTTGGATCCTTTCTTGTTGCTTCAGAAGTCCTTTAATTCGTTCTTTTACCTCTCCGTGACTGGCACAGTCGTCTTTTTCATTCACATTAATGTACTGGGAACTTATACACAGGACGCCAGACACAAGGAGCGATGCCCAGACCATTGCCATGATTTAACTTTGTTGTTGGTGTCTTGACGAAAGCGTTTCTGGAATATATTGTTTCTGGAATATAGCCACAATTTTATATATAAGACTGAAAAGGGAAGTTAAAAATCTAACCGATGATTTAGTATCAAATGCTGACTGACGTTTTCAGATTGTTTGTCTATCATTTAAACACTGAATAGACGACGGAATATTTTTCGTTACTTCCGAAAAATGACAAGGAGTACACAAATGGTTTAACCGGTCTGCAGGCTATGCTCACCACAGAGGCGTAATCACAAACTTAAAAGTGAGGGGGCTCAAGTCAATTTAGCCACATATGATCCACATATGCATTGCCTTTCATATGAAGATCATATGTGGATCATATGAGAATCATATGTTTATACAATCATATGAGAATCATATGTGGCCGATCATATGAGAATCATATGATTATGTATATGTTAATCATATGAAGTAATATACATATGATTCTCATATGATAGGCCCTACATATGAGAATCATATGTATATTTTGGCAGTGGTCATATGAGAATCATATGAAACAGATCATATGAGAATCACTTGAAACCATATTCACTAATTTGCCTTTGTTATACTCAGGTAAAAATCATATGAATATTTTGACAGTGATCATATGAGAATCATATGACACAGTGATCATATGAGAATCATATGAAACAGTAATCACTAATTTGCCCTTGGTATACTCAAGTAAAATTGCAATTTTAATAATATATATCAATAGTAATTTTAATGTACATCAATTTCGAAAGAATTTGTTAGCAATAACCAGAGACGTAATATAATCTCTGCAATAACTTATGTTAAGTTCTACTCTGTTTAACCCCCCCCCCTTTCCCTTATAAAAAAACCTTTCACAATTTTCTTTTTCTGTAATAATGCATATCCCAGACAAAATTGATAAAGAATAAATTAATTTGCTTTTAATTTCAAATCTTTTGGGTTTGGGTTTATTACTTGAGTAAAATAAAAAAAATCCGTATTTTTCCCGGACCGACCGGACCGGTTTTGACTTCTATCGGATGAAAGTGATGACGTACGAGGTATTTATAGTCCCAGTTCTTGGGATTTAACCGAACTCAAAATATCCCGGTTTCTGATCTGAAGTGCATAATGCGCATGCGCCATCACAGTACCGCAGTCGATATCATCATGGCTGATTCCTCCAAGGACAACACGGCTCAGCCTCAACCTACATCCAAATTTGTATGGAAATTGTTTTATTCTCATTAATATCGTACATATTTACATTTTCAACCTTTATTTTTCCTATTTATCAATTTTTTTTTGGACATCATAATATATAAAAACTTATGCATTTCCAAGAACTTCTTCTTACATCTGAGGAAATTCGAAATGTGCAATGAATTTACAATATCAGTTTTGTGTCATCAGAAGTTAGAGATTTGGGTTTTGATAAATGTGTGATTAGGCCATTTATAAATATAGAAGTTTTTTTTCCTATGTTTTTAGAATTTGGATTGACATTGATTTTTCTCATGTTTGACGTCACTGCTGCAGCAGAAGTGCTGGGTGTTGGAAAAAGTAAGTAATCTCCTAACAACTTTTTTAAAGACCTTTAATTCATATTGTTTAAATATCGTTTCATTACGGTTACAGGTTCGTATGAACTCATCTCTGTATAGTTAGAATAATCTAACTGTGTCTCGGTACAAGCCCTCACCGGGTCCGTAGGACAATACCCTCGAATCATGAGTTTTCGTGGCATTACGGTTAATTTGTAATAAATTGCTTCAAGAATGAATAATTGAGATGTTTGTTATTTATCAAACATACAAACATTAATTCTCCTTATTTTAAAATGATTTTAACTCACATATCATTTATTATTTGTTCAGAAGGACATTGAATTCTTGCATAGTTGCTCTTTCGATTTTTTTGCTGACGTCATATGTTTTCGTGGTATTTATAAAACTAGTAAACTATGGAAATCTAGTCGGGCAAATTCCTTGTAAATTTAAGAGTGTCAAAAATACTAGTTAATTGACAAAATGATTACATTATTTGACATGGAAATTTATTTGTTGTTAATTAAGACCATATCTATCTGGGCGTGCCTAAGCTGTATTGCTAATTTATGTAAAAAAAATTCTCTTTTTCATGAGTGGCCTAGAAATAATTTTGTAAAGCTTTATTTGAATGTTTCATGTTTTTAAATATAAATTCCATGTATACTTAAAGAAATTAAATGTTTAATTTAATAAATTATCAATGGCATAATATTTCTTTCAGCATATAACTTTTTAACACCCCCGATATTTTCTTTGAAAATTATATAAAAAATGACGTTACTAGATCACCGTAGAAAAAATATCAAAAGTGGGAAATTCCAAATTATTGTCACATGACCGGAAGCTGTATGGATAGTTAACAGACGATGATATGCAGGATCGCCGGCTATTAGTTTGTAAGTTTTATATTCTAATTCAAAACACGACGAATAAACGGATATCACGCAGATTGTCAAATTTGCGAACTATGCATAACTCACTCGCTATATTTTATTTTGGCAAAGGCAAAAAGGTTTAACATGTGGTCATAAAACATGCACAGGGTTCCCTTTTATTAATAGCAAATATGACGTCATTCCGATCTCGCATTGTGGGATTATTCCTAAAAATAAAAAATACCACGAAAACGTATATACCACGAAAACATATCATTTTAACGATAGAACATTCTATCTAATCTCTGTAATACTCTCAACACTTGTAATGGTTAAATTAATTCATTTCGTAAAATTAAACCTACATAACGTTAGTGATCTGTAAGTAATTTTGGATAAATTTGTCTCTGAATGGATGTAAACATTACAATTTACATGATAGGCTAAAGGCATTACTTTGTTTTCTTTTTGTTTTGACTTTTGTTCGTACTGATTTAAAAGTGAAAGTAGAAACCCTGTGTAATGGTTCTGGCCGTGGATATCGGCCTGGATAGCTCAATCGGTAGAGCACCTGACTAGTGATACAGGGGTCCCGGGTTCGATTCCCGGTCCAGCCATGCATTTTCTCCTTTCCTGTTACAGATTTGGTGCCGTTGACCACCCCTGGAATTGCAGGTGAAAGTCCTGCCAGGGGCAATAAGAACTTGGGTTGTGTCTTCGAGGGCGAAGACCATTTAACGAGGGAGGAATGTAATGGTTCTGGCCGTGGATATCGGCCTGGATAGCTCAATCGGTAGAGCACCTGACTAGTGATACAGGGGTCCCGGGTTCGATTCCCGGTCCAGCCATGCATTTTCTCCTTTCCTGTTACACCTGTATAGCAGTTTGGCGTGTTTGTATGTTGAGATCGTTATCAAGTCGATTCTTTCATCAACTTAATGACAAATGTTTGTTTTTGTGGCCTATAGATGCATTCAACAACTTGAGTTCAGTGTCAACGTGCTGCTTTTTTATTAAGTCCAAGAAGCTTGAAGCTGATAAGACTGGCGATTGATCCAAAAGCTGATTGTGACAGACGATTGCATCATCACAATATTATTAAAGGTAAAAAGAAATACTTGCAATAAAAAATCAAAGTGTACATCTGTAATGACTCCTTTATGAAAAAATATTTCTTGATAATTTCTTTTTGTTCCTTTATAATTCACATTGTTTGCATAGCTTCATCAAAAATAAATTCAACTCAATAATATAGAAGTTGTATTCTACATTATGAATAATTTTAATCCAATGCACTTTTAAAATATGGTAAGTATGAATAGAATATACTGGCTTTTAAAAGCTATGAAACTATACAATAACTTCAGGGGGTATAATAATAACAGTGGCAACTTTCAAGGTACACATATGCAGTGTATGTGTTGAAAGTACATCAGATAGCTAATCCATTGAATATTTACATCTATGTATTCATTGACTGACATTTATAAAAAAAAATTCCAATACTAATAGAGAACCTAGTTTCAGGTAAAATGTAAGATATTTAAGACTATTGAGAACTTACAAACTTGTATACTCTCTCTTTTTTGTAGTTTAAGCTTTAGTTATGCTTAGAAAATATCTACTGTGTTAATATTGGTTTTACAGGTTCAATATACAGGTTCAATATACAGTCAGCCTCTCGGAAGAAAAAATCCAAAGATCCTAGGCTTGTCAAAGTTAAGGTAACTACACACTGTTTAACAGACTTTGTTATATTCTTCCCAACAAAGTTTGGGATATCCTGGAATCATTAAGTCTGTTTTTCTGCCTATCTACTTGTCTGTAATTTTTTTTTGTCCAAAAGTAATATATTTGTGTCAGAATCTTCTAAATTTTTGGCAATGATACTATTTGAACATTCCATATTCAATTGACAAAAATAAAAATAAAATGCTTTTTATGATTTTAATATGAAGCATATCTTCCAATAGTGTAATTGTCTTGCAAAATTCAATTCAATTGTCAAAATAAAAAAAAAAAGCTTTTTATAATTTTATTATGAAGCATATTTTCCAACAGTGTCTTGCAAATTACATCATAGGATTTCACAAAACACCTAGTATAACATATATAACATTAGTTTTATCTCGTATTATATCTGTGTCGGTGAATTGGGAATACATTTGTTTGCTGATAAATTACTTTAATATAACTTGTAGAATTGATTTTGTAATTTAAGAATTATTTTTTATTTTTGAAATTTTTGTAGAGACCATTCTGTGCCACAAAGAAATTGTTCAGGAAGGGGAGAACTGGTGGATTTGCATTTTTGGTACAGTTCAAAGAGATTTTCAAAATGGTCAGAGGGAGGACAACTGAAAATATTGAAAAGATAAAGAAGGAAAAAGAACCTGGAAATATATAGAATAATTATGAAATGTGGAGGATGTAGACAACCTTTCTGAATTTGACCTGTAAAGATTTCCCATTTTTATTTGTATGCTAGAATATCAAAAAATTTGATTTTTCATAAATTTACAATAGAGAATACATGACAAATGTTATTGCTGATATTTCAATTTTGCTCTGGACACTTTCATGTCATATGGTATTTTTA